TTTTTTTTTTTGAAATTTGCGTTGAAATAACGATTTTGGCGATTTCACTTGGTAGTAACTAGTGGGACTTAGATGAACAACCTTATTTTTTTGATCTATTTGTTTTTTAGCATTTATCACAGCTCTCTCTGAACAATTTTCCCTAATTCCTTTTCTAGTAATATTTCTGAAATCACCCTGGTGTAACAGGGTTATAAAAAGGTAGCATAAACGCAACGATCGTGTTTAACATACGACTGATTGCGCATAATTTAAAATGTTTTTTTTGTTTACCTTGTTTATTTTTTGCAGAAAGTTTCCTAGAAATTGCCAAAGTACCTAAAGTAGCGTAAGACCAATTTTAGGATAGATGTGAACAGTGTAAAGTGAAAGTGCACGTATTTAGTGCTAATAACGTGTTCTGCCATACGCGGAACTTGTGAATGTTGTATTACTTGTTGCATTATTAGAAAATGTTGAATATTTTTGAAAATATTAGTAAAGCGGCAAAGAAAGTATTAAAAAAAGTATGAAAAGATTTTGTTGCATATCTAGCCAATTTAGTAGTTTTCTTACACTCTTCCCTTCAATTCACAGTAACTTTTTCTGTAATGTAGAGGGTGTACACTTCAAAAAATGCAAAAAATCATTTTAAAAGCCTATTATGAAGTACGGTTAATAAGTTTATAGTCGACGTTCAGTCACTTCTTTGTCACTGCAAATGTTATTACCAAATCCTGAAACTTTTAACGTTGCTTCAATTTGGAACTTTTTCAAATCTACCTCAAACGATTTGCGCTTGCCAGATTTTTAGGCGTAATTTAATTATTAAATTAGATTTTATTTCACCAAATATTAATATTTTTTTGAACAAAAAAGATATCAAAGGAAGGATTAATCGAATAGTATCAGTGAATGCAAATGCTTTATAATATCTTGTCAAAATAGGAGCTCTTTCTTGTAAATGATATTTTGTTTTTTTTTTTTTTTATTTGGATCGAAACTCTTGTCAGTCAAAAGGATTCATAGGCAGAATGTTAAAATTTCGTTTGTCGGCTGTAAAAGCAATTTAATTTTAACAGTACTCTGATAACGTTTCATAAAATTAACTTGTTTGATTTTACAAAAACGATCTTTCTCTGACTATGTTGAAAACAGTAAACAGTTCTCTTTGAAACACCACTTCTCTTTGGATAGCGTAGAAGGAAGGCCTTTCCCGCCGTGACTCGGAGCAAACGGAAGAAGCAATCCTGTTTTCAAAAGGACATTGATAGTCAATAAGAAGCAGGAATAATCCTGACATAATCATTTTGGGGATTTTTTTTTGTATGCATTGCTGACTATTGTATTATATCAATACTGCGTGCTATAAAAACTTTTATTTAACTCCTGTATATTTACAGATTTTCGTGGGTTCGATGCCTGAAAGTCTCAGGATGACAGAACATTCTGATAAGGGTTATGAACAGCCTCCACTCTTGGTTAAACTTGTTGTTTGTCTTTTGGCAATTGTTACAATGGTTATTTGCCTCGGTCTACTCTTCATAGAAAGCTGAAGTGGCCAAAGTATTTCGTAAGAAGTGGATCTCAAAATTCTGTAATTAGCACGGTCTTATCCGTCAGGCATTCACCGCGTGCACGTTACTGACAAGCAACCCTTTCGGCTGTAGTGAATTTTCTCTCAGATTCTCAAAATATACGTGCAATACCAAATAAGCGTAAGATGATACAAAATTTTTCATTCTCCTAATAATAAAATTTTTAAAAAATTTTAGTAGTGAAATTTAAATAGCGTACCGCTACTAGGGCAACTAATATTCTTTATGCTTGGCTTACAAATGAATTCACCACTAACGATTAAAAACAAAAACACGCCACTTTTAAAAAGTTAAGAAATAACAGAACTTCAAGCTTCTGTTTCTCAGAAATACTTAATGACAAGGTAAATGACAAAATAAATTTCCTTGCAATGCCATCTTTTGACGTTCTCATTAACTCCGCACAAACAAACGCAAAAACTTCTAACATGCATCGCCACATTCAGCCTAAAAAAAATGCATGATATAGTAGGCCAAGCCAGGAAAATGGTTCAGAAAATGATTGTTTTATCTGTATCTCTTTTAATTCTTCTAAGCATACTACTTTATTTTTATTTATGATACTTCAGAAGATAATGCAACAAGACGTTTGCTAACATTCTTAATCAATTAAAAACCGAAACTATAATTTAGCTTGATATACTAAATATGAAAATAAAAAGGGTAAAAAATATTGGCTTCTACAAAAACTGTTGTTGAAAAAATCGTTAATTTCAGTTGCTTCCTTTCTAATTTCCTTCTTGCTGTTGTTCCTACGGAATTCCTCATCACAGTTACAATTGACAGTGACTTTTTTTGTAATATAGAAGGTGAACACTTAAAAAAATGCAAAAGGTTATTATAAAAGCTTATTATGAAGTACGGTTAATAAGTTAATGTTCAGTTAATTCTTTAGACCTAAAAGGTTACAAGAACACACTACGATCAATGAGAACTGGCGAGAACTCGCAACCTACGTGGCTTGTATATTAAACTACCAGTTAAGCCGTTTTTACTTGTTTTTGTGACGTCAGGTGGTCATTCCCATGCCTCTTAAAAAAATCGCGACACTTATTTAATGGTAATGACAATTTTAAAATTACACGAACCTGCCGGACAAATGCGGCTCTATAAAGTCATTTTATGTTAAGTTCTGCTTCACATAAGTACTAAATAAAATATTGGTCTTATTGTGCTCACAGTGCAGGCAAGGTTCAGTGAGGATCGAGGTATGAAGCTAATGCCACAGAACAGAAAAATCGATGATATCTCTCCTTACAGAAGTCGCTAGTACGACACTAGTTTAGTCTCATGGGTTAGCTTCATTACGCAGGGTAATGCATTAACAGTGGCGAATATTCGCGGTTATAACTGCTGTAAATATTTTATTAGGTAAATGAAGATAGTGGGCCAGTGCTGTATTGGACCAATAACTCAGTTTCAAAATCCAATATTCTAACGTACTTTAATAAATACGAAAAAAAGATGTTGACGGTTTTTCAAGTAAAGTCTCTTCTAATTCGCCTTTTACAAATCAAAAAAACTAAGAGTAACCGAAGATGTCGATGTACAATTAAGAAAAAAAGGTTAAAAACCATAATGGAAATCCAAAACTTCAGCTGATTTACAACCTCAAAGTTTGCTTCTAGAATGTTTGATGAATTGCTACAGTGGGTGAGAACTTCTTGTCACTGATACTTTTAAGGCTGATAAATTGAGATTAATGCTGATAAACTACGATTCAAAATGTAAGGTAACTTACAAAACAAAATGAAAATCAAATCAAATAATTTACTTGGACAGTAATTGGTAGTGTAAAAAAAACTATTTATTATTATATGACTAAAAAATGTCTTTGAAAATAGCTAGTTTGTCATTATTTGCCGTACGAATATAGTCTTCTACTAATTATTTATTTCTTTTTTTTTAATGAGTTTAAGGTTAAAAATAGTATAAAAGGGAAGCAAGTATAGTTTGAAAAAAACTTCTAACCGCAGTACTTCATAATTTAAAATAAATCCTGTTGCTGTAATTTCCTTTTATCTTTTTTTAATTTTATGTCTATTGAGGTAGTAATGCAAGGTTCCAAGTGTCCTATTAGACAGCAGACTGTCGATAAACTATTACACACACCTACTGAATTTGGAAAATTTTTACTGGTCTGGTAGACTGGGTTTTATGTACTCAAGTGAGGAATATTTGTCAATATCCAGAAAAAAAATGACACGCAAAAATTTGACAGAAATCTTAGCATTTCTCTGCATAAATGCGACAACTATGCGATACTTTTTGGGGGGAGGGAGGTTTCATCCGGTTAACTGCCAAATGCTTCTGCTATCGTTGTTTACGCATGAATATTCTGTACGAAACAATAATACCTCTGTTGTTCACAAAATTCTGCAAAAAGATTATAAAAAAGCGAGCTAAAAGACCACAGCATATAGTCTTTATTAATACATTTTGTTTTTCAATCTGCAATTTTAATGTACATTGAAAGTGGTGGAAACGAAGGCTTCCAACAACGCTGAAGAACAATCAACTTACAGTAGTTTTTTTTCACCCGTTGGCTATAAGTATTTTAAGTAATAAATTCAGCTCAAAAATACTCTTCAAAGAAAAACATAAAGTCCTGTCACCAGCTTACTGACAATCAGAAAGTAGGCGCAGATCAATTACTTAACTTTTTCAAAAAACTGTTCTCAAAAATTTGAAATTGCTGTATCAGAAAAGCACTGAAACAGCAGTAGTTGCATATTTTTAACATAAGGTTTCTCCTTCTAGATGTTAGAAAATTCCAGTAATAAAACAAATCCAGTTTCAAAAAAATTTTTCCCGTACATTAAATCAGTTAGGCATACTAATGGTAAACAAAACAGGAAATAAATAAGCAATATCATAAATTAAATCACTACACAGTCAACTCTATTGTAGAAAAATTATAAAAATTACATGAGAATCTGCTAAAATCACTTCTACTCAATAAAATAGGAGGCATTTCACGAAACAAAACCCGGATTATTCTCACCAACTCCAGTTACAGCTGGAGACGTTGAAAGAGAGTTTGAGATATTTACAGATGGCTGAGCTTGCAAAGAATCATTAACATCGTTCCCTGAATTTTCTAGCCTTCCGTTACCATATTCATCGGTGGACCCGTTTGAAGGTGACTTTAACACCGGAATAAATAGTGATGACTCTATTAGAGAGCCATCAAACAGCTTTTTTCCGTCGTCCTCAAACTCCTTCTAAAACATTTGTTTTTTGAATCTGTTGTCTTCCAAATGCAACGTTTATATTAACAAATTAGTGTTTTAATAAGAGAAAGAGAGACTTCCAAAATTCTCATTTTTCTTTAAAAAAAGGTCTTTCTGTTCTACCCAAATGTATATAATTATTTTAAAAGACAGTTACCTGTACATCTCCATAAGGAACATTATAGTAATCGCGTTGTGAATCTAACTTCAGGTAAGAGTATTCATCTGTTACCTCCTCTAACTGTGCAGCAAGCTTTTGTCTGATGACTTCAAATTCGGGTCTGCATTGAGGATCATGATGCCAACAGTTTTTCATCACCTCATAACTAAATGGTAGTAATGTTAGCTTCTATACAGTTTAAACAAAAACAACCAGTTATTGCCAAAAACCTACTAGTCCTCAGGACAATTATCCGGTCTTTCCATACGCCCTCCACTCTCCAGGTACTCCATCATATCATCGGGTTGTATGCCAGGATATGGTGACCCACCAAGCGTAATAATTTCAAACATTAAAATACCAAATGACCATCTAGAAACATTTTCATGTGCATTACTCCATCTTTGCTGTCATTTTTCTTAAAGTTTTTTAGATGTAGTATTTGAGGTTCATTTTAAGAAAGCTGTTGAACTAACACATCAGATTTAGTTGTGAATTCGTAAAACTTGATAGCCTCTGGACTCATCCATTTGACAGGAAGACGTCCGCCCTTTGCCTTATAATTCGCACTTTCAGCATATATATACCTACACAAACCAAAATCACCAATCTTAGCATTAACTCTCTCATGAACTAATACATTACGTGCTGCAACGTCTCTGTGAATAAACCCTTTCTGGCTGAGATACTCCTAAAAAGCAAAAGAAAAAAGTGGTTTTTTGAAAATGTTTTACACTGTAAGTAAAAATAAGAAAAAAAATAACGCCTTACCAAACCATAACTGATTTGGACAGCAAACATTAGCAGCTGTTTAAGTGTAACAATCATGTCAACATCAAATTCTTCTTCTGATTGTGGGTTATCGTAATTGACGCCAACATCTGTTAGCTGCAGATATATCGTAATAGTTATGACAACCATATTATTTAGCAGGATCACCGTTACGGTTCTCCTTCACCTTCCCTCTATCGCAAAAGACGCGAGAGAGTCAACAGATCTGACAAGCTGCGGTCTTAGTTATCGCTAACTAAAGTTTTCTAGTAGTCCACTTACAAGAGCAAACTGCAGCCAGACTTTTTCGTAAGCTCGAATCTCAAATCTCGCCCCATAGTTTTTAACTATATTAAGTATTTCTGACATCAAGTACCGTGGTATTTGGTGGTCATCAACAGTAGCCGCTACATATCACTGAGTTAAGTTGAGCAAAAATTCCTCAAAAAAACAAAAACTCAAAATGTTGTTTAAGTGCGCTTGGTGCTATAAAAAGGCTATAGACCAATTTCTTCTTGAAACCAAATTGTACATCAAGGTTCTCCTAAGAATGTACAGAGGAACTACTGTCGTAAATGTTTCCCGTCCCCAAAAACCCTGCTAGTAATCACAGCAAACACTGCTTCCACGTACATCATCTATTACGCTACACTTTTCCATATCTTGCATCAATCTTATCAAATTACTGCTACCCACTTAATTCCTTGACAAGGAAAACGCCAGAACTCGAGTACAAGAACGCAAGAGGAGAAGGAAACGAAAACAGAAACGAATAAGAGATAAAAATTATTTTAGCAAAGAAGGAATAAAAGGAAGGCGATGAGAGAAAGACGAACCGTGGGGACCCTGCTATTAACGTTAGTGTTAAAATTTGGGTTATAAAAATCTTACCTTTAGCATATACTTGCAGCGTTCTCTTAAGAAATGCAACAAATCTCCGTCTGAGCAATATTCTACAATAAGGCAGTAGGGCTCGGTCTCTGTTATACAAGCTAACATGTTAACTAAACGTTCGTGGTAACCAAGCGTTTTCATTAAAGCAATTTCTTTCAAAAATTCGCTCTTTGACATTTCGTCGGCGTACTCTAAAGGTAAGAACAAAATGATTGTGTAAGGAACTATTCTTAAATAACAACGCGTAAACAGTAAAAAATAACGAACAAACCTGGCAACATTTTTACTGCAACGTCACAGTTTTCAGCTCTCATCAGATTCACCCCTAATGTTGACTGAGCATCTTTATGTCCTTTTGCAAGTCCAATAAGTTTACCCATGTAGACAGCCCCGAACGCTCCAGAACCGAGCTTTTTGTCCTCATACAATATCAAGTTTCTTCTTTCAAGTTCCCATAAGTCCTCCCTCAAATTTACCAACGTCATTAAGTGGTTCAAAACATTATACTTTGCTGGCAGTTCAGTTTGGTCAGACACTATAATGTCTCTGTCTGGTCATACTTACTTGAACTACTTTGCGCCAAGTCATGTGCCTTTTCAAGACAAAGTTTCAAAATTTTTCAGACTAAGAGCAGTCTGCTTTAATACTCATTTTTAGAAGCAGTAAAGGTTATTTGAAAAAGCTATTTTTTGTCGGATTATTCTGCTTCAGACTAAAATATTTTTGCTGCTTCTACATAATCGAAACTGTTTTTACGTTAGCAGCTTGTCATTCAAGCATAGAACTGAATTAATTTAGATTTGAGTAAAAATCGGTAGCTTTGGGCTTCTAAGGATTTAATGCATAATGCTGAACAAGTAGTCAGAATTTGCAAGTATTCATAATTTAAAAATTGCTATAAAAACTATGTTAAGTTTTCTTTAAAAAGCATTTTTTATAAAAGATTTATTAGTGTATATATCGTGAGAATAAAGCCACTGAAAGAAAGTAGATTAAGAACCTAAAGAAAAACAGAAGAAAAAGCCAGAAGAAGTGCTTAATCTATATTTTGTATGTAAGAAACACTAAAGAATTCACCAAATTTTTCAAACCGCGCTATCAGTGATAAATCGCCTTAGTTGA